AAAAGAAAAAAAAGAAAAAGAAATAGATCCAAAGGACCTATCAGTAACCATGTCTGTTCCAGTGCATATCATCAGTAAAATTTCTTTAGCATTATGTCTTCAGTACAGGGGCCATAACAGGGGCCAGGACATGATTTACTGGCCCCTGTTAGCCCCTGTCTAGTACCGCCCATGCATAAAGGTATACAGCACAATCTTTTATTTCCGTCCTAAGTGCTTTTTTTGCACATGCTCACTTTCAGGCAGATATCTGTGGTGAGCTACGGTTTCAGACAGCCATTGAAGCTCACCTTTCTCACCGTGGTTCTTTGAAAATGGCCGAGGGTGGTAAGAGAAAAAGTGTCTACGAAGTGTATGAGAAGAAAAGAAATGCCTCACAAAAGGTAAATATATCCCAGATTGCTTTGCGTGGAGATCTCTCTTCAAAAAGCATTATGGGATTTGCTGTCAGAGCAGCCCACTGTCGCCATAGGCTGTCACTACCCGACAGCGGCGACTAATAACAAAGATGGCGTATGCACCGCGCAGTTGAGTAGGAGTTATGAACGGTCAGTTAAGGTCAGTTAACTCAATTCACTATAGTCCACTATATATTCCCCTCTGTATGTGGACTTGTATGAGCTAGGAGAACAGCACGTTTTAAATAGGGCGTGCACGAGGAGAAATGGGCTTGTGCACGCTTTTGCATCTGCAAAGTGGAGAGGGCGGGTCCTTTAAAAACTCCTCCACAATACCTTTAATTATGAAGATATATGTTTTTTTTTTTATTTGTTTCCATGGAAGGATCTGAAAGGTGGTATATGTCAGATTGACTATCTCAAACTGTATCCTGTCGAGGATTAAGTGTGACATATGCTCCCCCCCTCTCTCCCTCCCCAGTGTGGCTCCTATCTTTCCAAAGAATATAGGCATCGCTATAGGAAAACGCCTCACCGTGGGGCCATGCCATGGGCAGCCATAAGAGCACGCCCAAGTCAGTGTTCTGGGGCATGCATGGCCCTCAGCTCCCCACCCATCCCAATGTATGTGATGAACAGTTGTACTGACACTGAAATCTCGATTACAATGTAAATTGTAATTGACAATAAAGAAAGTGATCGATTGATTGATATGTGAGTTGCTGGGCTTTGCCTGTAACCCATCGATTTGTTTCTGGTGTTTCTATCCTGCTCTAAGATCATGCTTTGCTCCTCTCGCTGGCTTTTATATGTGTGGTTTTTTTTTTTTAAAGGAATCACCAACAATCAGATTTCTCTATGTTTTACTCTGTGTGCAGGTGTTGGGTTTCAGTTAAAACACGCTCTTCACAAAGCGTGATTTTGATACTCCTGCATTGATATCAATCCTGGAAAGATGCTAACATTAGCCCGCCTTGGTATCTCCACTCTTCCACCAGTCAGGGCCTCACATACAGGCAGTCTGTAAATGTTGTTACTTGTGTAAGTTTTTGTACGAGACCTGGAAAGCGCTAATGTTGCTAACACCACATCCACATGAACACGCATACACACAATAGCCGTATGAACCCTCGGGATAAAAAAAAGGGGTATAAAGAGGGGACTTAATCAGCTACATTAATTTTTTTTGTCCCAAAAAATCATTTTACATGAATTTAAAGACAATTTCAGGATTATCTACGAAGGATAGACAGGTGACTCTTTTAAAGGTTACATGAGGCAAAATTCTCCCTTTTTTTGCAGTTGATCCCGGCAGCTTCTCCAGAGTTATCAGGGGCCTCCTGGCTGTTTGTCTTGTCAGTATAGATGGATGTTCCTGTGGATTTTCAGTGGTGCCTTTACTTACCTTTGCAGACTGTAGCCTTAACACTCAGAACTGCTGCTGGGTTCCTTCAGACTTTCACCATGCTGTTTGATCACTAATGTTTAACTACCAGTTTTAAGAAGTGAGGCAGACACCCTGTTTTATTAGACTTAAAACCTCCCTTTTGATAAAACTTATAAGCTTATAGTTGGAGTGGCTCAGGTTATCCAGATCTATCTCTATAATTATGCTGCTATAGGCTTAGAATGCTGGAGGACTAAGGGACCACTTTTCATCATATGTCTATTCTCTAATTCTGCAGTACTTGTAAGTTCAACCTCTAACTTTATATTATAGAATCTCCATCTGAGCCTGATTATTCTAGAAGTGTCTAAAAGGAGTTTTACCTCTCCACTAAAACCTCCTACATGCTAGCTTTGAGGGATGGCGTCAGAATGACATAGTACAAATATCTTCTCAATCCACTTGCTCATCCAGGTGAAGCAAATCCTGGAAAGCTAATGATTTAATTCAATAAGTTAGTCTTCATTAGTAAGAAAACTTTCAACCAATATGACCGTGTGATCTGACTGAATTTTCAACTAACGATTATTTAGCAAATTAATTAATAATCGGATTGTCAAAGGTTCCTTAAAGAAGAATTTTCATGAAATTGAAAATGTTTCCAATTGAGGAGTTCTGGATAGAGCATATTGATTAGTGTTGCACTGATCCCGATACCATTTTGAGAGCCAAAAGTTTAGGCAACTATTGTCACCCATTCCAGGTAGGCAATAAAAAGTTCTACTGGATTCACTTTGTATTAGTCTTTTTCCTGCTTCACAAAGGTAGGCACACACATCAATTTCAAACAGATGGTATCGGTATGGTATCGGCCAATACTGCACAACCAGGTATCGAGTATCGGAGCCAAAAAATGGCAATGGTGCAACACTGAGGCCCCGTCCACACGAAGCCAAACCCTGGCCTAAACGCACAAATTTTTCACCAAACCAGCCTCTCATCCATACGAAGCCGCTGTTTCGGGGGTCTGTAAACGATCTTTTTTTTATTCAGCCTTCAGAGTGGGAAGATTTTGAAACGCCGTTTTCGCGTTTCCATCTTTAAGCTCTGACCGCAATTTTTTTCTTACACGCATGTGTCATAGCGTCGCCTCTAAACACGCATGCGC